GATAAATTATGTTTGTTTTTAAGCACATGACACATGAAAGGAGGGTCTGTCATGCAAATGATCTTATTAAATAGCACAAGCATTTACACTCAAATTATATTATGGAACATCTTTAAATGTGTCCGATTTAATTAAACAAAACAGAGTTCATACAGGGAGTGCAGAATTATTAGGCAAATGAGTATTTTGACCACATCATCCTCTTTATGCATGTTGTCTTACTCCAAGCTGTATAGGCTTGAAAGCCTACTACCAATTAAGCATATTAGGTGATGTGCATCTCTGTAATGAGAAGGGGTGTGGTCTAATGACATCAACACCCTATATCAGGTGTGCATAATTATTAGGCAACTTCCTTTCCTTTGGCAAAATGGGTCAAAAGAAGGACTTGACAGGCTCAGAAAAGTCAAAAATAGTGAGATATCTTGCAGAGGGATGCAGCACTCTTAAAATTGCAAAGCTTCTGAAGCGTGATCATCGAACAATCAAGCGTTTCATTCAAAATAGTCAACAGGGTCGCAAGAAGCGTGTGGAAAAACCAAGGCGCAAAATAACTGCCCATGAACTGAGAAAAGTCAAGCGTGCAGCTGCCACGATGCCACTTGCCACCAGTTTGGCCATATTTCAGAGCTGCAACATCACTGGAGTGCCCAAAAGCACAAGGTGTGCAATACTCAGAGACATGGCCAAGGTAAGAAAGGCTGAAAGACGACCACCACTGAACAAGACACACAAGCTGAAACGTCAAGACTGGGCCAAGAAATATCTCAAGACTGATTTTTCTAAGGTTTTATGGACTGATGAAATGAGAGTGAGTCTTGATGGGCCAGATGGATGGGCCCGTGGCTGGATTGGTAAAGGGCAGAGAGCTCCAGTCCGACTCAGACGCCAGCAAGGTGGAGGTGGAGTACTGGTTTGGGCTGGTATCATCAAAGATGAGCTTGTGGGGCCTTTTCGGGTTGAGGATGGAGTCAAGCTCAACTCCCAGTCCTACTGCCAGTTCCTGGAAGACACCTTCTTCAAGCAGTGGTACAGGAAGAAGTCTGCATCCTTCAAGAAAAACATGATTTTCATGCAGGACAATGCTCCATCACACGCGTCCAAGTACTCCACAGCGTGGCTGGCAAGAAAGGGTATAAAAGAAGAAAATCTAATGACATGGCCTCCTTGTTCACCTGATCTGAACCCCATTGAGAACCTGTGGTCCATCATCAAATGTGAGATTTACAAGGAGGGAAAACAGTACACCTCTCTGAACAGTGTCTGGGAGGCTGTGGTTGCTGCTGCACGCAATGTTGATGGTGAACAGATCAAAACACTGACAGAATCCATGGATGGCAGGCTTTTGAGTGTCCTTGCAAAGAAAGGTGGCTATATTGGTCACTGATTTGTTTTTGTTTTGTTTTTGAATGTCAGAAATGTATATTTGTGAATGTTGAGATGTTATATTGGTTTCACTGGTAATAATAAATAATTGAAATGGGTATATATTTGTTTTTTGTTAAGTTGCCTAATAATTATGCACAGTAATAGTCACCTGCACACACAGATATCCCCCTAACATAGCTATAACTAAAAACAAACTAAAAACTACTTCCAAAAATATTCAGCTTTGATATTAATGAGTTTTTGGGTTCATTGAGAACATGGTTGTTGTTCAATAATAAAATTAATCCTCAAAAATACAACTTGCCTAATAATTCTGCACTCCCTGTACAACTTAATACAACTTAAACTACACTTGTGTCAAAGAACTACAAAGAACATGTTATTTGAGGTATGGCTGCTGTTTGCATGATGACAATTTGTCAAACTCAATTTTAGAGTCACACATGCTGCGCTCATGTCATCTGTCCATCTGTATATCAGATTAAATATAATTCATGATCAAAAACAACTGCTCGCAAACATATGATGGTCCATAAAATGTAAGGAGTGCAATCCCCTGATCCCATTTATGGTTTTCCTGCTATACTATCACTCTCTTTTTGCTGTAGAGTTGTTAGTTGATCAGTTAATTTATTTTTCCAAACAGAGCTTTCTTGAAACGCTAACACTTCCATTTCCAGACTTTCAATTAATAACCATTTAAAGCATGAGATAACCAGTACTTCAAAAATCGCTTTATCGGGATTAGTTATAAAAGACAAGGTTGTCTCCATAATGCAGAACTGAGAAAATTTGGCATTTAAAATGCTCTTTTGCGTGTTCCACAATGTTGGAAAGCATTCTAGGAATTCTTTCCTTTTAGCATCACCAAGTTCAGCGATATCTTTGTGGTTGGTTTCCAAGTGACGTTTTACACTTGACGTATGGCAAACAACAGTATCATTACAAAGTATACAAAATGCTTTTCCATTACATTCAGTCATTCCAAATGACTCTGTCTCGTGGAATGATCTACCGCTGCCTGTTAGTTTGCATTTTTGTTTGCAGTCATTTCTTATTTCAAAACTCAAGCACAGCTTCTTTGACAACGCAATCTCCACTAGAAGAAAAAGAGAAGAGGACATTATAGAAGTGACAACACACAGTAACTGCACTTGTTTATTATGAATCACAGTAACTGCACTTATATATTATGAATATCCTGGCCAAGTCGCTGAAGTCCCTGTTGTACAACAGCATTGATTATTTATCATAAACACAGGGATGTAATATTTTCAGAAAGGATAAATAGATTTGGATTTAAAAACAAAAACTAATTTTTACTAAGTGCAAGCACATAAAAAAATGTATACATGGTCAAAAGTGATATTAAAAATAAAACAAAAAAATAAATATAGTCTGCCCCCCCCACTTTCTGCTTGCGTATTAATATAATTTATTTATAGATTGCCCACAAATGTCACAGCACCAGATATGATAGGTAACGAGTAATTCAAGACTTAATTTTAACCTAAGAGGCAAAGCAATGCACAAGGTCTCGAGGAGCCAGCCCATAAGCTTACAATCTACAAAGGAAGAGAACAA